AACCTAACTATATAATAATACTCTCTCTCTCTCTCTCTCTCTCTCTCTCGCTGCTTCGCAGGTAACACACGGTTCAACAATTTTGATGTGCTGCGGTGGCCACACCCGTCGTGCGTGCAGGGCGGAGAGAAGGAGGCGCGGGGGAGGAGAAACATGCACCGGTCTGCGCAGCGGGGGGAGGGGAGAGGAGGGGACGGCTCGGCCTCCCTGCGGCGGCGCCGCACACACTCACACAAAAAAAACACGGCGGCGCGTCTGCCGTGCCCTCGGCGAAGGCCAACTGCCCAAAACGGCAACAGCCGGGAAAACCCGCGCAGCAAAAATAAAAACGAAAATAAAAAGTAAAAGTAAAAAAAAAACGCCAATCGACGGCGCCACACCGGCCGCCCACGCCGCACCGATCGGCGCGGAGAGCGGGAGAAACGGAAACGATCGGAACCGCGTTCGAGTGCCTGCAGGCGTGAGACCCCAACAGGGCAGCACCGCAGGACGCGTCGTGGGGAGGGGAGGAAGCAACGGTATCGCCCCGAACTCCACGCAAACGGCGTGCGGATTCCTCGGCCACTGCCCTCAGAGAGAAGCAAAACCAAAAGCAAATAATAATAATAACAGTAATAAAAATAATAACGCCCTGAAAGCATACGAGAAGGAAGCAAAGGCGCAGGAAAGTGGGTGGGAGAAGCAGAGGCGACGCAATAGCACGAAGGCGCCCCTCAGGATCTGGCCCCCGCATGCGTTGCCATAAAGAAGGAGGGGCAAAGCCGTGAGGGAATGAGGGCCTGCTTCGCCGCGCCCAACAGCCCACGGCTAAGGAGAAACGAAGAGTTAAAAAGCACCCACAAGCATTTCGTATACCCGCGCCTGTTCTTCTTCCTTTTTTTTACCTCAACCGGACTCTCGTTCTAAACGCAAGCAGTGGCTTTCTGTAGGGCCCGGCAGCCGCGAGGCACACCCTCCGTGCCGAAGGCAGTAGTCGTAGTCGTAGAAGCAGTAGGCAAGGGGCGGAAGCGAGAGCACGAGGAAAAAAAAAAGTAATAATAATAAGACGGGCCCCATCCGCTACCCTGCCGCGCCGCGGTGCCTGAACCCATAAATATATGCATGTATGTATATTTATATTTGCGAATACGCAAGGAAAGAGAGCCCGTGCCCAACATGACGCCCTCTTGTCTGCGTCGCCGCAGCTACTCTCACGCGTCCTCCACACGCACCTAAAGCTGGAGTCGATGCCAAGACAAAAAAAAAAGCACACACGCACACACACGCCTGCAGCTTCCACAGCTGAGACGTGCATGGCTTTGGAGAAGCACATAAGTACACGACGATAACGCAGAGGAAGTGTAGCGTGTTCTTTTTCTTTTTCACTCCACTTCACATTCTTTGAGTTATGCATAGAGTGACGCCCACGCAGCACGGCGGCCTTTGCTGGCTTTTTATACTTCAAATTGAAATACGCCGGGTGCGTGTGCAATGCCTTGCGTACTCGCATCCATCCCGCAGTGGATTGAGCTGGAACGGCACCTGCGTGAAGTTCACGCGGAAGCTGCCTCTTCTTATCCTTCGCTTTGCGGGAAACCCCAGCGTGCAACTCTCCCGTGTCTCCAGCAGGTTCGCCTCGAGGCACGGCACAAAGTAATACGGTGAGGGCTGCGGCCAAAAACATGGCCCGCATTCCCACAGCTCGACGCACCATGAGGCCGCAGCGGTCTGGCGACGGTGCCTCCGGGTCCACTGTGCGAGTGGCGTGCAGCTCCTGCCCGGCGGCGGCGTCGTGGTTCGTCGTGGGCGCGGCCCAAACACCGTCAAAGAAACGGGCGGGGAAGTCGGTGGGGTCCGCCGGCGCGGAGAAGCGCGACGGCGCCCATGACGGCGGTGTGCGAACTGCGCAGCTTCGCGTACGCCTTCTCCAGCAGCGGAGGCCAGACAACCCACTCGGGCCCGCCGGGCTCGCCGGCGCCAAGCGGGGTGCAGCTGTCAGCAATCACATTCGCTCCGCAGCCGTGTTTGCTGAGTGCCACGCGGTGGGCGCCACGCGTTTCCTCCATTCCCTCCCGCAGGAATGGGGAGGCAGTCCCGCCAGGAAGCCACTGCGGCACACGAATGGCAACGCGCACGTGAACCCAGAGTCGTCCGCGTGGCCCGTGACGTGGCACTCGAGGCGAGGTTTGCTACGAGGCTCTGGGAAAATGCGGGCGGGTCGCCCGGCTGCAGGGCAATCCTCGCCGTGTTCGTGTCAATCCCCGCATCCTGCAGAGACTGCGAGAGTAGTGCGTAGAGGGAAACAAAAAATTCACTTCACCGTGAAACACTTTCCTGCGGCAGCAGCAGCCGTGCAAAACACCCCCCTCCGTGCAGCAGCTTGAAAAGAGTCCCAGCACGGCATGTTGTAGCTCATGCATCTTTGCCGCTGCCTCTGTGTTTACATTCTGCAGATGCACGTGCGCCAGCGGGTGGAAGGCCGCCGTAGTGCCGCGGCAGGCGGTGGACGGTGCGTCAAAGCAGAGAAGCGGCACCGTCCCGCGCGCGGGTGGACGACAACGTCGGCCAGCGACCCGCACAGCCCCCGCGAGAGGCGGGCGCGCGCCCAGGCGCACACGTGCACGTCCGCGCCAAACCCCCCCCCCCCACCGTCGCGTGCATCGCTCGGTCCAACGTGGCACGGAACGTGGGCCAGCAACTGCCGTCCTCCGCGCAGTAGCAGTCGCCGTTGCCGGGGAAACGGAAGGCGACGCCGCCGCGTGGGCTCGGGCGGCCAAAAAAAGGCAAACTTGCGTCTCCGCCTCGCAAGCGGCCGCGCATGTGTGAAGTAGTTGGCACCCGCGAAGGCACCGCAGGCGTTTTTTCCGCAGGACTTCGTTGCCTCCGCCGCCGTGGCAGGGCGCCATCGCAGTTGTCTTGCCCTCCCACACGCAGAGCGGGCGGGGCGGCGGCGCACCGCTGCGAGAGGCAGAGGCAAACACGGGCCGGCGGAGGCAC